AGGGGCGGATCCAGCAGTCTCCCCATCCCAAACAGTCAAATTATTGTAGAGTCACCATGAAATTTTTAAAGCAAGTTTACATAGTGTAGGAGAAATGAGACTTAAGATCTCAAATCTAAAATATTTCATCCCGCCAGGCTCAAATCATGTAAGTCTCCCTCAAATTCCTCAATCTCATCCCAGTTGGTAGGCTCATTCAAATCTAATCGAAATCAGGCATGGTGTTCAAACGAAGTAGGAAGAATAGAGAAAGGAATGTGCTGTCAGCTATGCATAAGCATTGCCTATTTATAAGAGCACAAACGAGCGATTAGTGGCGCCACTTGCCAAAATATTTTTCATATGCCTGCGCCAGCAGCTGAAAAAATGAGCGCGGCTACATGCATGGAATCTGGAAGGACTGCGGGCTCGAAAGAAAAATGCGCGGCTGCTGGCTGCATGCGACGGGAGAAGAAAAGAAAATGCGCACGACTCGGTCTAACGGCGCGGGACGGAGCAACGTTTCACGCAATTATTCCGAGATGGAAACGAAGGGACGTTCCTGGGAGCACGCGGTAATTAATGTACTCCTTGGTCTTTGCAATTTTTGAGTTGCGCCTAGTATCCTGAGACGGAGAGAGTATGTGCCTAAATTATAATTTATTAGAATGAATTCAATTCTAAGGATGCAAACAGGGCCTAAGTAATTTAGCAAATGACCTTGGATGTTGACAAGGTTCATACCAAAGTTATAGTGCTCGAAACGAACTACAACTTTATAGTTGATAAGTTTTTTATTTTAAATCGTTTAGAGTCCTTCATTTTAAAATTAATCATATTTTGAAATTCAAATTTTCAAAAAGTTTCAAGTGATCTTGGACAGTGACACATTCTATACCAAAGTTGTCGTGCTAAATGAGACATATTTTTTTCATTTGAGATTATTTAGGGACCCAAACATTTAATACAAGATTACTAAAAGTTAATACAAAATGATAGCATCCTAAACCAAATCACATGTGACCCAGTGGTGTGCTGATAAGGAAGCCTCGCACGAGGTCTGGCTTGGATCCTAAGAGGCGCCTGCGCGTGTTTCGTCTAAAAAATTGCATGACTTGTGGCACGTGGCCACGATACCTAGCTAGGGAGGCTTGTCCAGGGATTAAAAAGATGTTTTACTATTTTTCGGTCTCGTTTTTGTTTTCTAAAAAAAATTTACAACAATGGGTGTAGGTGCAAATTATAGACGTCCGCCTTTGTTAATTGATTTACAAAAGTTCTGTAAATGCTAACTACAGAGGTGGGTGTCTTACAAAGGCCGCTCGGCTGACTGCCTACAAATAGCTCATTAAAAGAGATCATCTGGCAAAAAGGTAGTCGGCCTTGTTTCTATACATAAAAAATGCCTGCTTTATAAATCCCTTTTGTAGTAGTGACCATTAATATGATGTTTAAAGGCAGAAAATTGCAATTAAATGTCATGATCTTGAATTCTGGAGGTATCAATATTGCTAAGCAACAGCTCATGGCAGCTGACAAAGTGGTAAATTATTATGAACTGAAGGGAGAACATGATTGCAGATTTACTGAAATGATTTACTGACATAAAGTTCCACTCTACGGCTTTACAGAAGAACTTTCACTCAGAACTAAGTACATTTTGATTACCTTGCCAATGCCAATTTCTGTCTTATTCAACTTATGGATGATCTGCACAGTACTGGGCCTTTTCTGGCTTTCTTCTTCCATGCAGGTCAATGCTATCTGAGTGCATGTCTCTAATTGGAGGCAATATAATTCAAGTGAGGAACGACTCCATGTTTCCGGCAACCTATTCCTCCAGTTTGTTTTTACCTAAGAAGGCAAACTGTTAATCATGGCTGATACCATCCACATGTAAATGTGACACAATGTTAGTATATTAATAAAATGTGATCTTCTTAAAGAGAAATATCGTGTCTCACTAAATCAATAAACTTGTCGTTAGGCATGTCTGGATGTATTGAGCGGCCCTCAGGTCCTGACACTATCTTTATCATTATGACACCCAAGCTGAATATGTCAAACTTTTTGGAAATTTCACCTTTGTTGATGTACTCTGGTGGCTGGTACCCACTACATTGCATCAAATAGAACTAATTTATAATCTGCACATTTTCAAGGATAGCAAAAGGGATATGTCCACATGAGGTATTCAACTTACAGAGTTCCTAGGGGGCTTTGTGTGGTCCGTGTTAGTTCTTCATTAATGATCTTGGACAAACCAAAATCTGCAATCTTTGGCACCATGTTCTCATCTAATAGTATGTTACCAGGTTTTAGGTCCAAGTGGTAAATATGTTGTTCCAATTCCTCATGAATATATTTTAGACCATCACAAATCCCTTTAATAATTTTGTATCGTGTATGCCAGTCAACCCCACAAAAATCATCTGCCACATTAAACAAATGAATCGGTAATCAAAATACCTATATACATGACAATTTCCTTTCATGACATACCAAAGATGGTGCAGCTGCATACCAGAAAGATGCTTTTGAAGGCTCCCATTGTGCAAATACTCAAGGCAGAGTGCAATATGTATGTTTTCAACAGTTATTTTCATTCCGTTGAGGTACTGATGTTTTTTCTGTTTCAAAGCAATAGCCAAAAATCTGTACAACATTTTGATGCTTAAGCATAACTAGTTTATCAAACTCATTTCGGAATTGCCGGATAGCAAGATCTGGATTGTCATAAGAAAGAGTAAGCCTCTTCACAGCAACGACCTCTTTGGTTTCAGTAACTCCCTGTTAAAGAAAAGAATATTATCAGTACTCCCTGTTAAAGAAAAGAATGAAAAATGTAAACTCCTGATTTTGCGTTTTGCTCGTTAAGTGTTGTCAAGAAGTTCGACCAAGATGCTGCTTAGTGGTTGACTGAACTTCTTAATACTATTTTTCACCTTAAAATTCTGCATGATAAGTTTTTACCTTATAAACCACCCCAAATGCTCCTCTACCAAGTATCCTTTCATCGGAGAAATCATCTGTAATTTGTCTTAACAGCTGAAATGTCACATCCTCTAGTTTCATACTTAGCTTGTTTCGGTAGCTCGCTGTCCATGCTATTTTTGCTGCTGTACAGTTACAAAGACCATTGGGTCGTAAGCAACTTGATGGAGACGTAAGCAAATAAACCTCGCACAAACAAAAAGATCAGTGTTCTATGATTATATCTGCATAGTACGTAGGACTATTACCGTAATGTAGCTTGGTCAACCCGATCTGCTTGTCCTCTCTTCCATCAGCAGCTTGTGTGACCATTCAAGCTCTTGCAGTCCTCCTCCTGCTGCTGCCGCCACCATTATGGATAATAATGAATCAGACCAGCTTATGAGTTACTTACAACTAACGGACGACAATATATGTAACCAAGGCAGCACGCCAATAATCCTGGAAGCTTTGATTTGGAAGCACATTGAATTGAAACACGTATGGTGATTGAATAGCTAGGCTAGCTCAAGATCAAAGGATGAAACCTATTCAGGGAGCAGCACTGCTTAGGCCAAGGGGGTCCTTGCATTGATGGGACGGCCGCCGCGGCTGGAGACAGATGGTAGGCGGTAAGCTACTGTACTAGCGCTAGGTGAGAAAACAATACCAGTGGATGTGGATCTATCTTACTCCATACTACCACACGAGAGGTGCTCGCTCTTGGACCCTGCATTCTGAATTCTAATGGGTCACGGACTCACGGGCAGAGATGGCACAAAAAGTTTACAGCTTGCAAACAGCCAAACCTCCGGCACAGTGTACAGAGTACAGACCAGTCACAGAAAGCTCATCGACCCCTCGATCCCGGGGTTATTTTAGACCATGTTTCTCGATCCCGCCCGCAAATTCTATGACTACATACCTCTGTCTCAGAAAAAATTACATCCACGTTTAGAGTAAGATCATCTCCAACAGACTCGAAAACAAGAGTTTGGAATGAAGGATGCCGATTTCAGAGGAACAAAAACTCCACTCCGGTATCTTGGTTTTTCTTCCTTCTAGCAAGCCGGAGACAACGCATATGCAGAAGAAAGAAAAGGATGGCCGGCAAGCTGCAGGAAGAACCTGGTTCATCGCCGCGATATGTTTCTCCATGGTGGACCACTGTTGCCGTCGTCGGAGAACGAAGAACGCGCTGCACAGCCCCCACGTAGGCCACGATACTATCCGGCACTCCGCCTGCTACCGCTGCTCCATCAGCAGCCAAGCACGCTTGATTTCCTCTCCTTGTTGAGATCGAGCTGAAACAAACGAGAATGATTGGGAATGAGACAATGGATGAGAACGACGGGGATTTCTAATTATTTGCCACGGATACTGTGGGCGTAGCCTCTCCTCGGCTTCATCGTGACAACTATAATTTGCCATTGAAAACAGAAAATTACCAACTCCCTCAGTTCTAAATTATAAACCATTTTAAAAATATTGTGAGTCAAAGCATCTCAATTAATCAAAATTATAGAAAAAATTATAAATGTTTATGACATCAATTAAATATAGTGTGAAAATATAATTAATGAGAAACCTAATGATATCCGGTTAGTACTATAAATATTATTATCTTATCATATAAATTTAATTAAATTTGAGATACTTTGACTTTTCAAAATTTTTAATAACTTATAATTTTGAATGAAGGGAGTTTTTTTTTCATTTTCGCTAACGCGGTGCGCTGAACTGGTGTGGCCGTGTGGCAGCGTGGACTTTGACGTCTCCGTCTGCCCAGCCCAACGGCGCTAGCCGCTGCCCGTCAGCTCCCCTACTCTGCTGGTCACTGTTAGTGGGGCCTGACTGTCAGTACCTTTTTCCTCCTTCCCTTCTCATTCTTCCCAACGAGAGCAGAGCAGGGCCACCGGTGGCCAAACGCAGGCTGCGGGGAGGTTCCACGTCGGCGAGCGGCCGCGCTGCGGCTAGCTTGGGCCCGCGCGGTCTCTTGGGAGGACTCTGCGCGGTCAGGGGCTGGCGGTGGCACAGCAGGGAGCGCGATGGCCTCGCGGTCGACCCATGCCTGGATCTCGCCGGCGACGGCACCACCACGCGCGCGACCGCCCTCCTCCACCTCACCGGCGGCACCGCGCGCGCACGGACAGGGATACGGAGCACGAGAGGTCTCTGAGCCAGTACAGGAAGCGGCGCAGGGCGGTGAGATCGGGGTCGCCGGCGAGGAGGTCGTCGGCGCTGGCCTCGAGCGTGAGAAGCGCCTGCAGCGCCAGACCGCGTGCCTCCCCGGCCTCCACCCTCCGCGCGTCGGGCGGGCGGCGCGGCGAGCAGGCGCCGTGGCAGACTGGCAGGCCAACGACGCGGGGGGGCTCCCACTCGGCCAGGCGGTCCCTAGCTCCGCTTCGGAGCATGTCTGCGTCCGCCACGACGCAACGACGAGTACAGGGCTCGCTCCCCAGCCTACGCATTCGCCACGAGCAGCGCCGACTCAGGACTTGGTCGTCGGCGTCGTGGTGGGCCGCCGCAGCCCGCTGCGTGGCGAGCAGGTCGTCGAGCGTGGCCGAGGACCCTTGCCTACGGGGGCCGCGGGGAGCTCCTCCGCCGCACCGGTAGCCTAGGCGCAGCGCCCGCGGGGAGCGTGGACGGAGCTGTAGTGCTCGCCGCCGACGCGTCGTCCACAATCGTGTCGCGTGTAGGAGAAAATGAGAATTTAATTTTGCCCTCATCCCAAGCGGGTTTCGCTAAAATCCCATAGAGTTCGTGGGTTCACTAGAATGCCTCTACGAAACCTGTATTCAACGCTATTTTGCCATTTTATGATTTTAAAAATTTTGAAAATCTTTTCGACCCAAATTTGCACTTGCTTCGAGCGTTTTACCCTTACCTCCATCAACCTTATCTTCTCGTTCTCTCTCTTCTTGTCACGGACGGTACCTCCGTCTCGTCTTTCCCGTCTCTCTTCTCTCACCGGTCGGGATCACGCCCCAAGCAAGCCGCCGAGCTCTGCGCGGAGCTCGCGTTTCTGACCCCGGGCGTCGATCGAGGCAGGGGGCGCGGACACCCTCACCCTAACTCCGCGCTCAAGGCGGCCATCGACCAAGACGACGCAGCTTTCTTGCCGCCCGTCCGTCGAGGCGGCGCTGGCAGTCGTCTTCTGCTATGCCTCCGGCGGCCGCCAAGTCCGTGAGGAGCACTGCAAGGCGCGCGGCGGTGATGGCCACGAGCACATCGAATTCGTTCTACTCGTCGTCGTACTGGTCAGCCTCGGAGATCAGTGCGGCAGAGGACGAGGCCAAGGAAGAGGCACCGCGGAGGAGGATGGTCAAGGAGATACGGAACCACCAGCAGCGCCGGTTGACCCGCTAGAGGACGACGTGGTGAGCAAGGTGATGGACGCGGACGACAACGGCGTGGTCGCGGCCATGGATGGCGCTACTGCTGGAGGCCACGAGTGAGGCGCGGAGAGGCGGTGCTGGCATTGGCACGCCACGCCTCCTCGGCGATCAAGCGCCACGCACGTTTCTTTGCTCCCTTGGGGCCGGCGCGGGCAAGGAGCCATGGGGGCGTGGGCGCAGGGGTCGAGGGCACGCCTGGGGAGGAGCGGCTCGGGGGCGGCGGCCGCGCGGCGTCGTGCTCCCGGCCGAGACATCTCCCCGCCGGGTGAGACAGAGACGGAGAGACTTCGGTTCGTGATGGGAAGAAAGAGGATGAGGGGATAAGGTAACGGAGGCAAGGGTCAAACGGTCAGAGCAGGTGAAAATTTTGGGCTAATTTTTTTTTTCAAAGTTATTTAAAATCACGAAATGGCAAATTAGCGTTGTGCACCCGTTTCTTACAGGCATTCCGGCGAAGCCCACAAACTCGATGGCATTTTAGCGAAACCCACCTGCCATGAGGGCAAAATTCTCATTTTCTCCTCATTGCAGATGAAAGAAAGAATAGAGGAGGAAGGAAGAAGGTACCAACAGGCGAGCCCCACTAGCAGTGACCAGTAAAGAGGGAAAGCTGCCGGGCAGCTGCTTGCGCCGTTGGGCTGGACAAACGGAGGTGTCAAGTTCCACAGTGGCACGATGAAGTGGCACAGTGAAAATGGCAAAAACATATGCCAGTTCGTGTTTTCTGCGACAAATGTGTAGTTGTCACGATAAACTGGCAACCATCGTATCAGTGACACATAATTAGAAAAATCATGAGAACGACGAGAGCAGACGGAGGAGATAAGAGTGTGTTTCGTTGGATGGATATACATGGATGGAAGAGGGTCATCCATGGATGAGTGGTGTTTGGTTTGGTGGATCTACTGGATATGGATATCCACAACAGAGAATATTCTTACTAGATGCTGGATATTGTGGCCACTAAAAAACTTGCAGATGAGCTTATCCATGCTTTTCTAATCTTTGTCATTAACAAATAAATTAATGATTATTAGTATGTTATATTATTAATTAGTAATTAAGTTTTGATAAGTGGACCAGAACGAGAAGGGGTACTTGTTTCCTTACACTCACCGGCTGTACGACCATATGATTGTTGGGTCAGCCTATAATAACAATTCCTTTGATTTTTTTTTTGAAAATTCATTGCATAGAAAACTCCACAATAATTTGATAGACCATTCCCTTTGTTCAGAGGATAAAATTCCTTTCATATGACTTTGATGCCTTTCAAAATGTTACTAGTAGGGGATTATCATTATTTAGGGTCGTAGTTTAATTTTGCAGAAGTCACTTTCTGATTGGTTCAGCAACACTAGTTGCCGATTGCCAAGTAAAGAAATGACGCATAGGTGAACAACAGAATTTTGCAGAAGAATATCAGCCACTGGCACCGAACTACGACAGCCAAGTCACAAAAATATAGATAGAAAAGTACAACATCAATTGCACCACCAGCTCCCAAACAAAAACCGTCTACAACATACAAAAACATAGCCGCCAAAAAACAAATCCATGCAATATTTTTCTGTTCAGAGCCGTTGTCCCAGTCAGAAACACCGGCTGGGTTCATTGACTCACTTCTACACCTAGCAACAGGTCGTCGTCCAAAGCCCACCGCAAACCACTAGTTGCAGCTGAATGCAGAATTGAATTTGCAAAGGCACACATCAGCCACAGCAACTCTTGGATGATGCCAACAGCTACAGTATAAAGCAAACGCCTCGGTCCAAGATGAAGCAAGAGCACTCAGCGACAATTCCACTGTAAATCTGCAATCTTCGTGTGTCTACTTGTCCTACTGCAGCCACGTATCCTGACATGGATGGATGCCTGCTTTGAATCTGTCACCCCAAGAACACGGTAGGATTTCGTTAAGAGAAGAGAAGGATAAGCACCCCAAGAACACGTGTCTTGAATGCATGCTTTACATGATGCTCATGGATTCATACCTTGCAGCTGCAGATTGGAGGAATTTCGTTGTTGCCCCAAAACCATGTCTGTTCCGGAACTAATAGTGGATGACTGTTCCACTTACTGTCTTTCTGTTTCACGCATGGAAGCCAGGCAACTCAGACACGACATCATGGTGTGAACTCAGAAAACGCTGTAATCCTTGACTAGTATTTTCTTTTGGTGACTTGACAACGACCTGGCTGAGAGGATCAAACAAAAAGTGAACAGCAGCTGCTCTGTTTGTTCCTCAACAATCATGTTTTTTCTCCATCAGACACAAAAATGGACCTATGGCTTCTCAGCGCACAGCTTATGCCTCTTTCTCCCATGTTCATATCTTGGGGGCGAGGAAGCATGCTGCCGCTCCAATCCTCACCGAACAAATACAGCAGCAGATTTCCCACGATTTCCCTTGCCTTTGCTATTGTTCTGCTCCTCTTCTTGGCCTCTCCTGCAAGCTCTTGCACCGAGCAGGAGAGCGACTCCCTCCTCCAGTTCCTTGCAGGGCTCTCGCAGGACGGCAACCTCACCACGTCATGGAAGAATGGCACAGACTGCTGCAAATGGGAAGGCATTGCCTGTAGTCCAGACAAGATGGTCACAGATGTCTTCTTGGCTTCTAGGAGCCTTCAGGGATTCATCTCACCATTCCTCGGTAACCTCACGGGCTTGTTGCGCCTCAATCTATCCTACAATTTGTTGTCTGGTGGCCTACCACTGGAATTGGTATTGTCCAACAGCATCACCGTGCTCGACGTCAGTTTCAACCAATTCAGTGGAGACCTGCAAGATCAGCCATCTGCAACCTCTGTACGGCCTCTGCAGGTACTGAACATCTCAAGTAACTTGTTTACAGGGCAGTTTCCATCCAGTACATGGGAGGTTATGAAGAATCTAGTTGCGCTCAACGCTAGTAACAATAGTTTTATTGGTCTTGTACCAACTGTGTTCTGTGTCAGTGCACCATCCTTTGCTATGCTTGACCTCAGCTACAATCAGTTCAGCGGAAGTATCCCTCCAGGGCTTGGCAATTGTTCCATGATGACATCTCTTAATGCTGGGCATAACAACTTCAGTGGGACTCTTCCAGATGAGCTCTTCAATATTACCTTGTTGGAGCACCTCTCTTTTCCAAATAATCAGTTGGAAGGGTCACTCAGCAGTATCAGCAAGCTCATTAATCTGGTCACCCTAGATCTTGGAGGGAATGGATTCGGTGGCAATATCCCAGATTCTATAGGTGAGCTCAAGAGACTGGAGGAGATTAATTTGGACTACAATCACATGTCTGGGGACCTTCCATCAACTCTTAGCAATTGCAGAAATCTTATAACCATCAACCTCAAGAACAACAATTTCAGTGGAAAACTCACCAAGGTCAATTTCTCCAACTTGCCCAATCTAAAAACCTTGGATCTTGTGTGGAACAACTTTACTGGAATTATCCCAGAAAGCATATATTCATGTACCAATCTAACTGCACTGCGGCTATCTTCCAATAAGTTCCATGGCCAGTTGTCAGAAAGAATTAGCAGTCTCAAGTTTCTCTCATTCCTATCACTTGTTGACATCAATCTTACAAATATCACAACTGCACTTCAAATCCTTAGCAGTTGCAGGAATCTAACCACCTTGCTAATTGGGTATAACTTCAAGAACGAGGCCATGCCAGAGGATGAAATAATTGATGGTTTTGAGAGCCTCCAGGTCCTTTCCATGAATGATTGTTCATTGTCTGGACAGATACCCCAATGGTTAGCAAAGCTCACAAATCTGGAGATACTATTTTTATATAACAATAAACTATCTGGACCAATACCTGACTGGATCAGCAACCTAAACTCCCTCTTCTATGTAGATTTATCAAACAACACCCTTACAGGAGAAATTCCAACAACATTAATGGAGCTGCAAATGCTAAAAACAGACAAGGTTGCACCAAATGTTTTTGAGCTGACTGTTTATAAGGATCAGTCACTTCAATACCGCATGCCCAATGCCTTCCCTAAAGAGCTAAATTTAGGCAACAACAACTTCACTGGCACCATCCCAAAAGAGATTGGTCAGTTAAAAGCACTCCTTTCACTCAATTTCAGCTTCAACAAATTATATGAAGAGATCCCTCAATCAATCAGCAACCTCACAAACCTGCAGCTACTCGACTTATCAAGCAATAATCTCAACGGTACAATTCCAGATGCATTGAAGGATCTGCACTTTCTTTCTCAATTCAATGTTTCCAATAATGACCTAGAAGGCTCTATTCCAACTTCAGGTCAGCTTAGCACATTTCCAAACTCTAGCTTTTATGGAAACCCAAAACTGTGTGGTCCAATGCTTGCAAATCACTGCAGTTCCGGTAAAACAACATTGACCTCCAAGAAGCGACAAAACAAAAAAGCCATCTTTGTGCTTGCATTTGGCATAACTTTTGGAGGGATTGCCATCCTATTCTTGCTAGCTTGCTTCTTTTTCTTCTTCAAGAGTACAAATTTCATGAACAAAAACAGGAGCAACAATGAGAATGTCATACGAGGAATGTCGTCCAGCCTCAATTCAGAGCAATCCTTGGTGATGGTTTCACGAGGCAAGGGAGAACCAAATAAGTTCACATTCACTGACCTGGTGAAGGCTACAAATAACTTTGGCAAGGAGAATATCATAGGCTGTGGAGGTTATGGCCTAGTCTACAAAGCTGCATTATCTGATGGCTCCAAGGTTGCCATAAAGAAACTTAGCAGTGAAATGTGTCTGATGGATAGGGAATTCTGTGCAGAAGTCGATGCACTCTCCATGGCACAGCATGACAATCTCGTGCCACTCTGGGGTTATTGCATCCAGGGAGATTCGAGGTTCCTCATATATTCCTACATGGAGAATGGAAACCTGGATGATTGGCTCCACAACAGGGATGATGACGCGAGTTCATTTCTTGACTGGCCGAGGAGGCTAAAGATTGCACAAGGAGCAAGCCAGGGTCTGTCATACATCCACAATGTGTGCAAGCCTCACATCGTTCACCGTGACATCAAGTCCAGCAACATTCTACTGGACAAAGAATTCAAAGCCTATGTTGCGGATTTCGGGCTATCCAGATTGATCCTTCCCAACAAAACACATGTCACGACTGAGTTAGTTGGCACTCTTGGTTACATCCCCCCTGAGTATGGGCAAGGATGGGTGGCTACTCTGAGAGGCGATATGTACAGTTTTGGGGTAGTCCTGCTTGAACTGCTCACAGGCCAGCGGCCTGTTCCAATCTCATTTGCATCAAAAGAACTTGTCCAGTGGGTATGGGAGATGAGATCGAAAGGAAAACAGATTGAAGTTCTGGATCCAGCACTACGGGGCACAGGGTATGAGGAGCAAATGCTGAAGGTGCTTGAAGCTGCTTGCCAGTGTGTCAACCGCAATCCATCCATGAGGCCTACAATACAGGAAGTAGTCTTTTGCCTGGATAGCATAGACGCCTACCAAATAATACAAGATTCAGTCAGCATAGAGTAACATACAAATGTACATGACAAGTTTATTTCATTGCATACAGTAGATGTACAGTTTTCACAAGAACTACTTCTGTTGACTGATCACATTACTTCTTTTTAACACCTTGAACTAGCAACCATACTTTTGCAGTTCCTCTTCCTTGTCCCCTCTCATGAATTATTGCACATGATGACTCTTGAGAAACAAGTTACAGTTTTGTATTCCATCTCTGCTTACCCTTTCCGTGAGCTAACGTGCATGATTAATCATGAGGAACACAAAGACTATGGGCAACTGTTCAGTCCTATTCAATTTATTCTCGAGTTCCACATAATTCGTTCTCATAATTTTGGACTTGGTCAGTTATATATAGGGTACACTTATATATATGAGCACCACCGCAGCAAGGGAAGAACTACCGAATAAATGCAATATGAAAATATATACAGAATGACAAATATTAAATCAGAGATGTGAACAGTGGGGGCAAAGAAATGAAAGCAAATTAGAGGTCACCAACACTGAAATGGCAGGCTCGTTAGTGGCTCCCAATGTGAAGGCCCCATTCCGAGGATTTATGAGTTATGACTCCCTCCTCCGCCAGATGTTGGAACCTCAGAATCGAATTCTCTGTTAAACCCTATCTACACGGATCTCTGAAGAAACGACAGTGCAGTGTCCAGCAGCGAATCGAAAATATTAGCCCCAACCAATAAAAGGAGGAGAAGAGATCAAGAGAGAAGGTCTTCTAACCCATATAGGCGCTCTGCTGGTCCTGCGTGCGGCTGCGCAGGTCTCCAGAGACGGGGCCGCCGCCGTTCGCCGGTGCGGAACAGCGGGAGTTCACTTCGCCGGCGACGGAAGCGGAAACGCAACTTGCGCTTGGAACTTGGAAGAGAATGAGCATGGGCCAGAAGGCGGGCCCATGAGAGGCCCAGTCGTGAAGTGATGGGTTGTGAAATTAAGCAATCTGGAGCCTTGTTGGCCCAGGGAAAAAATTCTTTTTTTTTTGCGAAAGAAAATATTTGTTTTCTGGGTTTGCCATTTCGCTTAGAAGGTGATATTTTGATTAGCAGTCTGCAGATCCTCGCAAATATCATCATATAACCGATTCTACTGGAATAAACACTGGATTTAATGAGTCAACGCTTGATGTTGAAATGCAGTCAAACAGATGTATCATTACATATATCATACAAATATGATATCTATTTTTCAGCATGAATGATACAATCAGTGTCACAAACATGGATATGGAGAAGAAAATAAATATTATTATACTCCCTCCGTCCCTAAATAACTGTCGTCATTGCTGTACGTGCTACAAGTTTGATTCGATTTGTAGAAAATCCATGCAACATTTTATATCTAAATAAATTTATTAAAAAACTAGATTCAAAGATCTTTTCAATGATACTAATTATGTACCATAAATATTAATATTTTTAATATATATTTAATTAATTTTATTTCTCAGAAAATGAAAACGATAGATATTTAGGGACAGATGGAGTATATACAAAAATGACAAGTACGGCATAGTTGAGACCAATTGCCTACTCCATCTGTCCTGTAATATAGTGGATTCTAGAGATTTTAAGACATATTAAGAGAGAACGTAAAAGACGCATGTACCCTCATTTTATTTTCTAATTAGACGCTATCATCAATATGATTAATGGTGATTGGATGATAAATGGAAAGTATTTAATACAAAATTGGTTTTTGTCCTCTTGAATGCATATATTTGAGAATAATTTTTGAATGCTAGAATGCACTATATCACAGGACGGAGGGAGTATCAGAGGAATTGGTAAGATCAATTTCCATGTGGCTCCTGTAAACAAAGATGCTATAATATGATGAAAGGCATTATTTCCTTCAAGCACATTTGTAGAAATATTTCTTTGGATAATAGTGGTGGGACATTTTTTTTTATCTTCGGATCAAGTCGCTTGGAATTTGCTATGATGTAGCCAGGATTTTTACAATCAAACAACGTAATAGCAAAAGAACACAAACCTTAAGCATGGAATAGGGGGCAGAAGACAAACAATATGAGAGTAAAATAATCTGCTAATCTCATAAAATTAGATGCCAGATTAAAACTTTAAAATCGAGGTTCCCACACTAGCAAGAATGCATCAAATGCATGGTCAAATCTCTTCCCATGAATCTCATCACAAGTTCCTTTTACCCACAAGTCTAACTGACAGCTGAACTACTGCTACTGGCTATGCTGCTAGATTAAACAAAAATAAACCAAGAACATAGCACAGCTAGACTAGAGAATGATTAAAAAACCTTGACAGTTCATAAGCATTAAACATATCACTATGAAGTAAACTAGTATTACCAAGCATGCTTCTGTAGCAACACAAAAACTAGGCACAAGGAAACTAAAAGATAAATTAACTTAAGAGTTAAGACACCACACAAATCAGATCAAAGCAATGGCATGCAAGTAATGATTAGCTTCACTATTGCATTCTAATATACTCCATATTTTTTTCACGATCATGCAAAATGTTTGCACGTCTTTGTATTATGATAGAGAAAAAGTTCAATACAACACAACATGCCTTAGCGGCGGACCCTCCTAGTGTAGTGTAAGATATGTTGTTACATTGGACACTGATCAACCCGAATTGTGGCGCCGGCTAGGATTGACAACAAGTTATCAGAAACCTTCAGTCCTTGAACTCCGAAGGCAAGGTCAAGTTATCATGCTGAGCTTATTCCTGCAATAACCTTGCTTACGACCATTGGCAAAGTTTAGATGCAGCTGACTTCATAAGAAACAGAACCCATAGCTCAAAATATTTTACTAGGTGCGAGGTAAACTCAGAACCCATAACTCAGAAGGAAACGAACGAGCTCGGATCCTGGACATTTTAGGTTATACGATTTCACACAATGCAACCCATATTAAGCACTCAGAATTCCAGACACTGCAGAGGCAGGAGCAAAACCTGAACTCATTTCAGATAAACACATACCATGCTACTAATCCAACGTCTCCTGAGGAAGTAGCAAGAAGGTTGAAAACTACTCACACAATACATTTCTTTTGCTACTACTTCATAGATAAGAACGTTGTATTCATTTTTGGACTACATATACTGTAAACTCAGTATAGATGTATGCATGTCTTTATAGAATCAACAAACATAGCATAAGTCTACCTTCGACCTTCGTCTACTTTTCAGTGAAAGTAAATGGAAACTGATATTAAAACATGTCAATTACAGAACTATACCTTCAGTAATTCAGTGCCTTTAATATTATTTAGTCTCCCATAAAACAACAGATGCTCTCTTCCCGTTTATTTTCCCCCAAAGTAAGCTGCATCAAATTCAAAGTGCATGAGAACTGATGGCACTAGAATGCAACAGTAATCTGCAGAAACAGGTTTGAGATAGAAAATATCAGTCGTCATATCCATTCATGATTCATGTACATAGGCAGTGCCAGATGTTGGTGAAATAAGCCCAGTCATAAACAGGGAAAAAATATGTCGCTGAGTGCATAATATCACCTAAATTTTGTCGAAAGAAAAAAATCAAAGTAATAGGCTATGTTGCTGTACCATACTGATGAAGGATCTTTTCCTAGCTCCATTCGGGCCAAGCTCCACTCTGCTCTACTGTATTGCTTCTTCAGTTGAGGTGCAGCTCCACTCTGCTTTTGGAGCGCCGGCGACGACCGACGGTGACGAGGCAGGCCGCAGGCGTCGCTTACACCTTAACTAATCCGGTCTTGTTACAAAACCCAATCGTAGCACATCACAACTCGTATACTGAATCCGATTCGAACGCACGGTCACATTTAACCGCCGTTATAAATAAACGAAGAAGAAGGCTGCAGGGTGCACGCATCCGATCGGACTCCAATCGATCGCCATGCCGCCGGAGGAAACACCGGGCCTCGTGGCCGCGAGCGACGAAGCCGTCCACCATGTCCACCACGCGCCGCCGTCGTCGGTGATAATAGGCCACCGCGACCACAAGCGGAGGCGGACGAAGCACAGCGTGAACGACGATGCTCTTCCTCAAGAATTCACCGCGGCGCGGTCGACGATCGACGCCGACCGCGGCGCCACAGAGCCCGCCACGCCCACGGGTGGAGCGCACCGCAGCCAGAGACGCGCGCCGGCGGTGGAGAGGAATACGGGTGCTGGTGGCTTGTCGAGCAGGGACGACAAGGCATCACCATCCGTGGATCCACCACCAGCTTCGAGCAAGGCAATCCGCGTCAAGCACTCATCATCGTCGTCGTCGTTCGTCATCGGCGGCGGCGGCAAACAACATCCGGCCGCCGGCAGCGGCAGCTCGCCGGGAGGCGGCAGCCACTCCTATTACGCCAGCAATCACGCAGCTGCTGCGCCGAGTTCTTCTAAGAGGCTTACCATCCGAGGACCGGCCGCCCCGCCGCCGCACCCTCCGGCTAAGGCGAGACGGCCGCCCTCGGCGTCCGAGCCCTCTGCTGCCGTGCCGCTGGAGCCGGATGACGGCGACGAGCGCTTCCGCCAGGGCGTGGAGGTGTTCGGGGAGTGGGACGTTGCCACCCAACAAGCGGCGGTGAACCGCTTCGTCAGGCAGCAGTCGCCGCCGAAGGGAGACGGCTTCTCGTTCTGGCTCACCCCAGATGAGGCAGAAGCTGACCTGAAGTACGTTCACGAGATGGTGGAAGCCCAAAGGACGGGCAAGGCGGCGGCTTCCGGATCCGGCAGCGGTAAACCTCGCCGGCACTGACACGTCATGAGTTCTTGCGTAAATCTTCTTGTCCATGAGTTTCTTCATTGTCGATTTCGATACATTCTGCCTTGACGGAGCTGTGGATTTTACTCTTCGATTTCGGTATATCTTGGATCGACAGAACTGTGGAATAATTTTACTCTTCTCCTATATTTTAGGTCATTTTTTTATTGTTGTTGTTCAGTTAAAATGTAATCTTGTCATTGTTTGATTATGGAAAAATATTTTTATGAATTATTTCTTGTGAGTTGTCCTTTTAATTGTAGTAGTTATTGGTTAGAATTCATGAAATTTGTCTTTTTTCATCATAATAAAACTTACATCTCGACATAGGGAGTATTTAGGTTCAAAAAATGGAGAGGCATGACCTACTCCAGCCAGTTATATTTGACTAAATTTTGTGTTAAACTATAGTATGTTTTTATAATAACCAAGAGGGAGGAGAAGAGCTATTCAGGCTAGTAAACATCACAAACCATTGATGAATCTATTCTAGCAGAATATAGAACCGAACGTCCACCAGTATTTGCGTGTAAACATACAAATGAATTGGCCATGGCAACGAGCTTTACAATACAAAGAAAAAACGAAAAAAAAAAAGGTGATTTATGAGTCAGAGACACAAGCTGGCCCTGCAATCACCTAGTAAACTAGTAAATCCGTTATAGTACATTTCTAGTCCGAGATAACTTCATCGTGCTCGTGCACCAAGTCGCTTTCCATAGTCCACAGCAAACCGCAGGTGTCGTATACAATGTAAAATTTCCAAACGTTTACGTCAAACCACAGCTAACCTTGGGTGACGACTGATGACAACCGCTACAAAGTAAACGCCTCGGGTCAAGAAGCAAGAGAGGTCAGCGACATTTCCTCCATCGATCTGCAACCTTCTTGCAGCTCCACTTGCCCAGTGTCGACCGCGACATCAATGACTGCTTTGAATCATAATGCATGTCCGTTCTTATATAAATCTTGATTGGATGATTTCATCATCCTCACCATCATGCTCCTTCTTGGCAAAATCATGCATGTTCCTGGTCGGAAGGGGGTGCGCCCTTGTCTCAAATTCTGTATGCAACAACAAAAAACAAACAGGTTTTGTATGTTGAAACAGGTAAGACCGTAAGAGAAATGATGTCAAATGAAACAGAATAATACGTGATGTTAATTGTTAACAGTTTCAAGAGGAATAAGTAATGGATGATTAGTACACGAATTATCATACTGTTCTGGGAAGGAGTTCCTCAGACGTAACGTGGCAATAGTCACCCAAGAGCAATGAACCCACATGTCAGCAACAATGACAGGTGCAGTTATGTTTGATGATCTATTCCTGCAAGAAAGTCAAGCTTATCAATAGACTGTAGCAGGCGGCTCAGATGAAGCGTCATGTTGTGAACTGAGAAAACACTGTCAATGTAGCAGATAACCCTCCACCCAGATTTTCTTTTGGTGACTGCCTTGTCCTGAAAGACAACAGCTTGTCCTCATGCTCTATCTTGATCAGACTCCTTTGGCCCTATAGCCTCTCAGGACACAATTTATGCCTCTGCCTGCTTCCATGCTGATTTCCAGGGAAAACACATGCAGGAACTCCACATCTCACCATGAAGTGCTGCAACACTTTCCCACATCTTTCCTTGGCTTTGCTCTTGTTCTGCTCCTCTTGTTGGCCTCTCACACAAGTTCTTGCACTGAGCAAGAGAGCAACTCCCTCCTACAGTTCCTTGGTGGGCTTTCACTGGACAACAACCTCACTCTGTCATGGAAGAACGGCACATAATGCTGCACATGGGAAGGGATCACCTGCAGTCCAGAGAGGAAGGTCACTGATGTCTTCTTGGCTTCTAGGAGCCTTCAGGGATCCATCTCACCTTTCCTTGGTAATCTCAGTAGCTTGTTGCGCCTCAACTTATCATACAATTGGCTGTCTGGTAGCCTACCACTGGAATTGGTGTTCTCCAGGAGCATCATCATCCTTGATGTCAGCTTCAATCAACTCAGCAGAAACCTCCAGGAACTGCCATCTTCAACCCCTGTCCGGCCTATCAAGGTACTGAACATCTCAAGCAACTTATTTACAGGGCTGTTTCCATCCACCCCTTGGGAGTCGATGAGTAGTCTGGTTGTACTCAACGCCAGCAACAATAGTTTCGTTGGGAAAATACCAGCAACATTCTGTGTCAGTGCTCTGTCCTTTGCAGTGCTTGAGCTCAGCTACAACCAATTCAGTGGAAGTATCCCTCCATGGCTTGGTAATTGCTCCGTGATGACATCTCTCAGTGCTGGGCACAACAACCTCAGAGGGACTCTTCCAAATGAGCTCTTCAGTATTACTTCGTTGGAGCACCTATCTCTTCCTAATAATCAGTTGGAAGGATCACTCAGAGGCATCACCAGGCTCACAAATCTGATAACCATTGATCTAGGAGGGAATGAATTCAGTGGAAATATACCAGATTCTATTGGTGAACTTCAGACGTTGGAGGGAATTCATTTGGACCACAACCGCATGTCTGGGAAGCCACCTTCAACTTTGAGCAACTGCACAAAACTTGTAACCATAGACCTCAAGAACAACACGTTCAGTGGAGAGATCACCAGGGTCAATTTCTCCACACTTACCAATTTAAAAACTTTAGATCTTGCATGGAACAAGTTCACTGGAACGATTCCAGAAAGCATATACTCATGCAGCAATCTAATAGCATTGCAGCTATCTTGGAACGAGTTCCCCGGCCAATTGTCAGAAAGAATTAGTGATTTGAAGTTTCTCTCATTCCTATCACTTGTTAGCATCTGCCTTACAAATATCAGCAGTGCATTTCAAATCCTTAGGAATTGCAGGAACCTGACCACTCTGCTAATTGGGTACAACTTCATGCATGAGACCATGCCAGAGGATGACAGAATTAGTGGTCTTGAGAATCTTCAGGTTCTTTCCATGGAAGGTTGTTCATTGTCAGGAAAAATACCTCCTTGGTTATCAAAGCTCACAAATTTGGAGATGTTAATCTTATATAACAATAAGCTAACATGGATAATACCTGACTGGATGAGTAACCTAAACTCCCTCTTCTATATAGACATATCAAACAACAGTCTTACAGGGGAAATTTCAACAGTTTTAATGGAGATGCCTATGCTACAAACAGACAAGGTTGCACCAAAGACGTTTGAGCTCCCAGTTTATGAGACCCAATCACTTCAATACCGCATGACCAGTGCTTTTCCTAAAGTACTGAATCTAGGAAACAATGATTTCACTGGTGTCATCCCCAAACAGATTGGTCAACTGAAAGCACTCCTTGTACTCAATTTGAGCTTCAACAAGTTATCTGGACAGATCCCACAGCCAATCTGCAAGCTCACAAACTTGCAAATACTTGACTTGTCAAGTAATAATCTCAATGGTATGCTTCCAGATGAACTGAACGATATGCACTTCCTTACCCAATTCAACATTTCCAATAATGACCTAGACGGATCTGTTCCAACTGTAGGCCAGCTTAGCACGTTTCCAAACTCTAGCTTTGAAGGCAACCCAAAATTGTGCGGTCCCATGCTTGTGCATCATTGCAGTTCAGCAAAAACACCATTGATCTATAAGAAACAACAGAACAAAGAGGCCATGTTTGTGCTTGCATTTGCTGTAACTTTTGCAGCGATTGTTGTCCTATTCTTGCTGGTGTGTTTCCTTTTTTTCTTAAGGAGAAGTTTCATAACCAGAAACAAGAGCAACAACAAGGATGTTATGGAAGGAATGGCATCCAACTTCAATTCACAGCAATCCTTGGTGATGGTTCCACAAGGCAAGGGAGAAAAAGATAAGCTCACGTTCACTGATCTTGTGAAGGCTACAAATAACTTTGACAAGGAGAATATCATAGGCTGTGGAGGTTATGGTCTTGTTTACAAGGCACAGCTACCCGATGGCTCCAAGGCCGCCATCAAGAAGCTCAGTGATGAAATAGTCTTAATGGATAGGGAATTCAGTGCAGAAGTCGATGCACTCTCAATGGCACAGCATGACAATGTAGTGCCACTTTGGGGTTACTGCATCCAGGGAAACTCAAGGTTCCTCATATATTCCTACATGGAGAATGGCAGCCTGGATGATTGGCTTCACAACAGGGATGATGATGCAAGCTCATTCCTTGACTGGCCAAGGAGGCTAAAGATTGCACAAGGAGCAAGCCGGGGTCTGTCCTATATCCACAATGTCTGCAAGCCTCACATTGTTCACCGTGACATCAAGTCTAGCAACATCCTACTTGACAAAGAATTCAAAGCCTATGTTGCAGATTTTGGTCTATCCAGATTGATCCTTCCCAGCAAAACTCATGTCACGACCGAGTTGGTTGGCACTCTCGGTTACATTCCCCCTGAGTATGTGCAAGGGTAGGTGGCTACTCTAAGAGGCGATATGTACAGTTTTGGGGTAGTCCTGCTTGAACTACTCACAGGTCAGCGGCCCATTCCGATCTCTTTTGTGTCAAAGGAACTCGTCCAGTGGGTATGGGAAATCAGATCTGAAGGAAAGCAGATTGAAGTTCTGGATCCAGCACTCCGGGGCACAGGGTATGATGAGCAAATGCTGATGGTGCTTGAAGCTGCCTGCCAGTGTGTCAATCGTAATCCATCCATGAGGCCAACAATAAAGGAAGTAGTCTCTTGTCTGGACAGCATAGCCGCCAACCTGAACATGCAAGATATTTCAGTGAACACAGAGTAATGTGCATGATAAGTGTACTTGAGTGCATAAGATGTATACGTTCACAAACCCTAGTTCTGCTGCCTTACCACACTACCTTTTGTACAGCTTAACTTACTGATAGACTTTGTTCAATTCACCCCTCTGCCCCCCTCTCGTGAACAACCGTCCATAACAATTCATGAGAAACAAGCTACATTGTAAGACTAATCATGAGTGAAACAGATGTTACTGAAAACTATTCAGTTCCACCTCGATTTGTTCCCATGAATTTCTGGTAAAAAAAAAAAAGATTTGGTCAATTACGCGGCCACAGTTGCAGTGTCAAAACTGCCAAGTAAATGCAAACCGGAAAGGTATCTAGTGATAAAAAAGCAGCAGCATCCTGGACAAAGCAGGATCGAACCAGTGCGACAATCAAATAGGGAGTCAGCAACACCGAAACGGCAAAGGTCAATAATGCCTCCCAATGTGAAGGCCCATCCGCAATCCGCGACCACGCCATCCTCCGCCTGCAGTTGCGACATCAGAGTCGAGCGCTCTGCTAAAACCTATATCTACTCGGAACATCTCTCTCAGCGCATCGAAATCACTGATGAAGTGGCGAATCGAGTAGAGAGTAGTCCCCCACCCGAAAACATCGCCCCACACTACAACAAGTGAAGAGAAGGCAAGAGCGGCGATCAACTGACCCTAGTAGGCGCGCAGCTGGCTCTCCGTGCGGCCGCGCGGACCTCTAGAGACGGCAGCGCCGCCGTTCGCCGGTGCGGCGCGGGGAAAGGAAGCGGAAACGCGAAACGTGGTGAAGGGAGAAAACGCCATTTCGCGAACGTTACATGGGCCGGCAAGCGGGCCCACGAAAGGAAGTACGACCTCTTTGTATACTCCGTACTGATTTAGCCACCTCTGATGTTGGATTTTATATATACAGTATAAATACATGTTTTTACTCTGAAGTCCAAAAATTGGTCATGTCTGTTTTACCAGTGAAGAATTGCATTTTTTAACGTAAAGTGAAGAATTGCATTCACAGGTAATTATAATTTTATTTATGCATAGTACAGAAAACAAACAAAAAATGTGATAAAAAATATTTGTCAATAATATTTAGTTTCAAATGGAGCCACGAAAGCAGCCAAATCCTTTTCGGCCTGGTACTCCACGCGTTTGTAGAAGAGCTGTTGACATCACAAACCATTTGTGCAGCAGACTGCCCAAACCATTATAGCAGAGCAGCCCCAGTGAATATTTGGAGTGAAAATGAACTTTATAAGCCCACCATATTTGCACTAAACTCACAAATCATTGCCCACAAGACAAGGTGCTTTACAAAAAGATAGGGAAAAAAATGTATGCGGTATTTTTTTTTCTGAGATATTTACTGAGTCTGAAACACAAGCCGGCCTGATTTGTTTTCGAAAACCTAAGCCGGCCTGAAATCACCAGCTGAGCCTACACACATTTGCACCAGGTCATTGTCCACTGTCCACAGAAACCCACCGGTGCCGGCAAGATATAAAAAAAAAATGTATGCCGTGTGTTTTTTTCCGAGATATTTTACTGAGTCCGAAACACAAGCCGGCCTGAAATCACCATCTGAGCCTGACACATTTGCACCAGGTCGTTGTCCACAGTCCACCAGAAACCCACAGGTGCCGGCACAATGGAAAATTTTAATTGTCAAACGTGTACGACAGCCACATCTAGCTAGTCTTGATTATGACGACAGCTAGAAAGTAAACGATTCCTTGGGTCAGCAAGAACCATAGCTCGTTCGGCTGGGGCTGGCTTTGGCTGGGCCCCCACAAAAAAATATTGTTTATTCGATCGTTTACTGACAAACTAAACAGTAGCAATGTGATCTCTCTCACATAAACCAACCCCCTCAAAAAACATTGTTTATCCGATCCAAAAGGCGATGATCTCACATAAATGAACCAACAACGAACCGAATGCATCCAAGAAACACCTAGCATAAAATCATCCATTAATCTGAAAAATCTTCTTGCCCTTCTGCAGCCATGTTCATACCCCCATCAATGGATGCTTTGAATTATAGTGTCCAATTTGTCCTTCCGGTTTGTTATAATGAAACTGATAGGAGAAGTGATCCCAAACAAAGTACTAAATCAAGACATGTTGTAGCATTTTTAAAAGTAATCAATCATGTATGGCTGGTCCTTGTATTTAGTACCGTTCCGCACATGGAAATCAGCTTGCAAAATGTTGTTGCAAATGTTAAATCCCGACAAGGATGTGCGTGTAGCAGCCGGCTTGACCAGATTTTTTCTCTTGTTGAATACGACCAGGAAGGTCAAATAAGACGGATAAAAGAATAACGATGGCAGCAGCTGCTCCTGTTTGTACTTCGTGCTCTTTCTTCATCCAATCTCATTTAAATTTACAAACTCTCTGGACACAGCTTACGCCTATGCTTATGCTTCCATGCTGATTTCTTGACAAAATGTGGCCTCTACATTTCTCATTCATGAAATACAGCAACAGATTTCCCACGAGTTTCCTTGGCCTTGCTCTCATGCTGCTCCTCCTCTTCTTGGCATCTCCGACGAGTTCTTGCACCGAGCAGGAGAGTAACTCCCTCCTGCACTTCCTCGCAGGGCTCTCGCAGGACAGTGGCCTCACGAAGTCATGGCAGAATGGTACAGATTGTTGCACTTGGGAAGGGATCACCTGCAGTCCAGACAGGATGGTCACTGATGTCTTCTTGGCATCTAGGAACCTTGAGGGGGGAATCTCACCATTCCTTAGCAATCTCAGTGGTCTACTGAGGCTCAACCTATCCTACAATTCGCTGTCCGGTGTCCTACCATTGGAATTGGTGTCATCCAGTACCATCATCGTCCTTGATGTCAGCTTCAACCAACTCAATGGAGGCCTGCAAGAGCTGCAATCTTCAACCCCACTCCGGCCTCTCCAGGTACTGAACATCTCGAGCAACTTGTTTTCTGGGTGGTTTCCATCCACCACATGGGAGGTGATGAAGAGTCTGGTTGCGCTAAATGTGAGCAACAACAGCTTCACTGGGCAGATACCAGCTACCTTTTGTGTCAGTGTCCCATCCATTGCTGTGCTTGAACTCAGCTACAACCAAATCAGTGGAAGTATCCCTCCAGGGCTCAGTAATTGCTCCAAGCTGACATCTCTAAGTGCTGGGAACAACCGCCTCAGTGGGACTCTTCCAGATGACCTTCTCCATATTGCCTTGTTGGAACACCTCTCTTTTCCAAATAATCAGTTGGAAGGATCAATCGGTGATGTCAGCAAGCTAAAAAATCTGGTAACCCTTAATCTTCAAGGGAATGAGTTCAATGGCGATATACCAGATTCTATAGGTGAGCTTACGAGACTGGAAGAGATTTGTTTGGGCAACAACAACATGTCTGGGGAACTCCCATCAACTCTGAGCAACTGCACAAATCTCATAACTATTGACCTAAAGAGCAACAGTTTCAGCGGAGAACTCACCAAGGTCAATTTCTCCAACTTACCCGATCTAAAAACCATAGATCTTATGGGAAACAAATTCAATGGAACAATTCCAGAAAGCATCTACTCGTGCAATAATCTAACTGCACTGCGACTATCCTCCAATAGGTTCCATAGCCATTTATCAGAAAAAATCAGCAATTTAATGTCCCTCTCATTCCTATCACTTGTTGACATCTCCCTTACAAATATCACAAGCGCATTCCAGATCCTTAAGAGTTGCAGGAACCTGACCACCTTGCTAATTGGACTCAACTTCAAGCACGAAGTCATGCCACAGTATGATAGAATTAATGGTTTTGAGAATCTTCAGGTTTTTTCCGTAAGTGGTTGTTCTTTGTCTGGAAAAATACCTCCTTGGTTATCGAAGCTCAAAAGTTTGGAGGTGTTATCTTTATCCAACAATCAATTGTCCGGATCAATACCTGACTGGATAAGGAACCTAAACTCCCTCTTCTATATAGATTTGTCAAACAACAGCTTCACAGGCGAAATTCCGACAGCCCTAATGGATATGCCAATGCTAAAAACAGGCAGCGTTACACCAGAGGTCTTTGAGCTGCTTGTTTATAAGCTTTATACACCTCAATCACTTCAATACCGCATGCCTAGTGCTTTTCCTAAAGTGCTGAAACTAGGCAATAATAACTTCACTGGTGAGATCCCCAAAGAGATTGGTCAGTTGGAAGGGCTCCATTCACTTGATTTGAGCTTCAACAAATTAACTGGAGAGATCCCAGAGTCTATTTGCAACATCACAAACTTGCAGGTGCTCGACTTATCAAGTAATGATTTGACTGGTACAATTCCAGCTGCACTGAACAACCTGCATTTCCTGTCTCAATTCAATGTTTCTAATAATGACCTAGAAGGGATTATTACAACTGCAGGCCAGCTTGGCACTTTTCCAAGTTCAAGCTTTGATGGCAACCCGAAATTGTGTGGGCCCATGATTGTAAATCATTGTGGTTCAGCTGAAACACCACAGGTCTCAAAGAAACAACACAACAAAAAGGCCATCTTTGTCCTAGCATTTGGTGTATCTTTTGGAGGTATTTCCATCATGTTCTTGCTAGCTTGCCTCCTTTTGTTGTTCAGGAGAACAAGTTTCATGGCTAGAAATAGGAGCGACAAAAAGGATGCCATAGAAGCAATTCCAACCAACTTTAACTCAGAGCAATCAATGGTGATTGTTCCACAACGCAAGGGAGAGCAAAATAAGCTCATATTCACTGATCTTGTGAAGGGTACAAATAACTTTGACAGTGAGAATATAATAGGATGTGGAGGTTATGGGCTTGTATACAAGGCTGAGCTGCCCGATGGCTCCAAGGTTGCAATCAAGAAGCTCAATAGTGAAATGCGCCTGATGGATAGGGAATTCAGTGCAGAGGTTGAGGCGCTCTCCATGGCACAGCATGACCATCTAGTGCCACTCTGGGGTTACTGCATAAAGGGAAACTCAAGGTTCCTCATATATTCCTACATGGAGAATGGCAGCCTGGATGATTGGCTTCACAACAGGGATGATGATGCCAGCACATTTCTAGACTGGCCAATGAGGCTAAAGATCGCACAAGGAGCAGGCCAGGGTCTATCACACATCCATAATGTCTGCAAGCCTCACATTGTCCACCGTGACATCAAATCCAGTAACATCCTGCTGGATAAAGACTTCAAAGCCTATCTAGCAGACTTTGGGCTAGCCAGATTGATCCTTCCCAATAAAACTCATGTTACGACCGAATTGGTTGGCACTCTTGGTTACATCCCCCCTGAGTACTGTCAAGGTTGGGTGGCCACTCTTAGAGGTGATATGTACAGTTTTGGGGTAGTGCTGCTAGAACTGCTCACAGGCCAGCGTCCTGTTCCAATCTCATATAAATCCAAAGAACTCGTCCAGTGGGTGCATGATATGAGATCCCAAGGAAAGAAGATCGAAGTCCTGGATCCGGCACTCCGGGGCACAGGGTATGAAGAGCAAATGTTGAAGGTGCTTGAAGCTGCTTGCAAGTGCGTGAACCATAATCCTAGCATGAGGCCAACTATACAGGAAGTGATCTCTTGCCTGGACAGCATAGATGCCAACCTAAGGATGCAAAATTCAATCAGCATAGAGTAACAACTACATAATAAATTGTACTTTGAGTGCACAGAGTAGAGTGACCTGATCACAGCACTTCCTTTTGTACAATAACAGGCTGCTAAACTCTTGCAATTTATAGTTTCATACATGATTGTGGTATCAAAATCTCAGTTGTAACTAATTAATTGTTTTTCTTCTCTTCTCTGCCCTTGTTTCACAATTCTAATGCTGTACTTTCCACACAGCGCTAGTGCCTAATGTAATTTTGATCAGAGAAAAAAGAATCTAGCTTTTTCCTTTTCCATGAACTGTGAGTGTGAGAAACAAAAAAATTATGTATGGGCAACCATTCTGTTCCTATTCAATTCATTCTCATGAATTTTAGGTTCCTCTTCGGATTTAATTCATTAATTTCAGATAAAAAGGGCTTGGTCAGTTACATACAAAAACGGAAAATATGATGATCACATTAAACAGCAATACTATGCTGAACCGTGAACATTTAGTCTCCTTTTATCTTTTGTCATCATGAATGTAAAACACTGGAATATTTTGTCTTGGAATATTCGAGGGATCAACTCGGATACAAAATGGAATGCCATCCGTGACCATCTTAGTGATAATAACTGTGATGTCTTATGTTTACAAGAAACCAAGCATGAGAGCTTTGATCTATCCTATCTGAGAAACTTTTGTCCTGCCTCTTTTGACTCTTATGTGTATTTACCTTCAGTTGGAGCTTCTGGGGGTTCTATTGTTATTTGGCGAAGTGCTATTCTTTCTAGCACTATGGTGTTCCACAATTCTTATGCTACATCAATTGAGTTTACTTCTCTTCATAATAATGTTGTTTGGGTTCTTACAAACATTTATGCGCCTTGCACTCCTCAAGGCAAAAGAGAGTTTATTAATTGGTTCAAGAATATTCAAATACCTGATCATATTGACTGGTTGGTTCTTGGGGATTATGCTGAGATGTTTTTGTTCAATGAGGCCATTAGTGCCCTTGGTTTAGTTGAGCTTCCACTGAAAGGCAAGCGATTTACTTGGTCCAACAAACAGCACCCACCTCTTCTGGAGAGGTTGGATTGTTTTTTCACTTCAGCCAGTTGGACTCTCAATTTCCCTACAACCAATGTCTCTAGTCTAACTATGGAGACTTTTGATCATGTGCCTTGTCTGATCTCCATCTCAACTGCTATTCCCAAGACTCATATTTTTAGGTTTGAAAATTATTGGTTACAACATGATGATTTTATGAATCAAGTTTCTTCTGGTTGGCACTCTGACTTCAATCATTCTGATGCTGCAAAAATGATCACTGCAAAATTCAAAAACTTGAGAAAAGTTCTAAAGGACTAGAAAAGAACTTTATCCAATCTCAAGCAAAATGTCACAAATATCAAACTTGTTCTTGATTTAATAAATTTTTTGGAGGATTTCAGGGATTTATCTCTTGCAGAATGGAATTTTAGAAAGCTCTTGGAAGATAAGCTTAGTTCACTGTTGCAGCAACAAAAAGCATACTGGAAGCAGAGGGGGGCTGTGAAGTGGGTAACACTTGGTGATGCTAGTACCAAGTTTTTCCATGCCAATGCAATAGTGAAGTATAGAAGAAACCTTATTACTCAGCTTGTTAATGATCAAGGAGATTATTTTTCAATCATAGTGACAAACCAGCATTGATTTGGGACTCTTTTAAGCAAAGACTTGGCACCAGTAATTTTACTGGACTTCAGTTTGATCTTCCAGCTCTTTTTGATAATATTGTTGATCTTTCTGGTTTGACAGCTCAGTTCACTCATGCTGAAATTGATGCAGTTGTCAAAAGTTTGCCTTCAGACAAAGCTCCAGGTCCAGATGGCTTTAACACAGACTTTTTGAAGAAATGTTGGCCTCTTGTTTGTGATGACTTCTACTCTTTATGTGATGCCTTTTATTCAGAAAACATATGTTTGCAAAGTATCAATGGCTCCCATATTACTCTCATTCCAAAGAAAGATGATGCTTTAAAGGTTTCAGATTACAGATCTATTTCTTTGCTCAACAATTCAGTCAAGCTCCTTACTAAATTGCTGGCTAATAGACTTCAAATTGTCTTGCCATCCCTGATACATAAAAATCAATATGGTTTTATTAAGAACAGAACCATTCAAGATTGTATAGCTTGGGCATTGGAATATCTGCATATGTGTCATCAATCCAAGAAGGAGATTATAATCTTAAAATTGGACTTTGAGAAAGCTTTTGACAAAGTGGAGCATGGTCTCATGTTGAAAATCATGGAACACAAAGGATTCCCATCTAAATGGCTCAATTGGATGAAGCTAATCTTTAACTCAGGCACTTCTTCAGTACTTTTAAATGGGGTACCTGGAAATGGATGAAGCTAATCTTTAACTCAGGCAGGGGGGACCCCCTCTCTCCATTGCTTTTTGTTTTGGCAGCAGATCTTCTCCAATCTGTTCTTAATTCAGCCACAAGAAGCAACCTTTTGACTTTACCTTTGCCACTTCCCAGTGATGAAGACTTCCTAATTCTCTAATATGCTGATGATACTCTTATCTTCATGCCAGGGGATGAGAATCAATTGCTGCACCTAAAAGATATGTTACATTCTTTTGCTCTGAGACCACTGGTTTATATGTTAATTTTGAAAAGTCTTTTATGGTGCCTGTCAATATTTCAGAAGAAAGATTAAATATTTTGGCAAATACTTTGGGATGTTCCAAACAATCCTTGCCTTTTACCTATCTGGGCTTACCACTGTATCAAAATGTGAAAGGAGACTGGTGGCTTTCTCATCCTTTTTGACTGAAGCAGGCAGATTGCAGTTAACTAATGATGACCTCATAGCTTTACCCACCTTTACTATGTGCACTTTCTTATTGCCAAAGTCTGTTATTAAGCAAATAGACAAATTCAGAAAACATTGTCTCTGGAGAGGTTCAGACCTTAATAATAAGAAGCCACCAAAAGCAGCATGGCCAATGGTACGTTCTTAAGACTCAGAATGAAAGCCTTTTGATGAAATATTTGCATAAATTTTTCAATAGGATGTCAGTGCCTTAGGTTCAGCTGGTGTGGGTGAGGGTTTAGCCTAGTGCTTACCCATGTATCTAGTTATCTACTTAGCTATTTACTATTCACTGTCTAGCTGTTTTCAGGTGCCTTAGCATCCAAGCTAGCATCTACTTTATACACTAGAATATGTTGTAGTAGTTGAGAACTTCCTGTATCCCAAGTTTGCTTTTCCTATATAATGCAATCAAGCGACTAAGTGCTAAGCTGCCCTCTGGCATGACAAATTCCACTTGGCTAGCTACTTACTTGCAACAATTAGAGCGGTTAGGAGAGAGCGGAGGCCATGTCCACCTCCAATGAAGCCACGAGGCAAGCGGCCCGCCACGCCGCCGCCAACACAGGCGGAGTAGTGGTGGTCAATCCTGGCGCCGATCGCGGGCGCTGGCCAGCTGCATGCCGCGCGCAGCCATGCAAGAAGATCGAGGCTGCCAGGCAGGCAGCGGCCAACACGGCCGCCGTGCTACGCGCAGAGTTGGAGCGGCAGCCCAGGGAGCCGTCACGAAGTAGGGTGCGCCGCCGGATCCCATCGCCATCTCTGGAGCGCCGTCGGGGACGCGAAGGCCATCGCGGGGCGCCAGCGGCCGTCCAGACGATGTACAAGAACTCCGGCACGGGGACGCCATGGCCGATGCTGACAAAGACCAACTACCACGAGTGGAGCCTGCTCATGAAGGTGAAGATGCAGGCGAGCCAGCTCTGGGACGCCATCGAGTACGGTGACCTCCCGTACCAAGACGATCGGCGTGCGCTCGAGGCCATCATCATCGGTGCCACCGGAGATGGGCGCACCGCTTGCGAACAAGGCGGCAACCAAGGAGGCGTGGGACTCCATCGCTGCGGCGCGCATCGGCGTCCACCGCGCCACGCTGCAACGGCTACGCAAGGAGTGGGAGAACCTCGCCTTCCGTCCCGGTGAGCAGGTCGAGGACTTCACCCCCGCCGCTCCACGCTGAAGTAGCAGATGGCCTACCACGATGACAAGGACCTCGACAAGGAGCGGGCGGTGGAGAAGCTTCTTCGCAGCGGCACCGAAGAAGTACGCCCAGCTGAAGATCGCGATCGAGACCCTCCTCGACTTCCAAGACCTCACCATCGAAGAGGACGCCGAAAGGCTAAAGATAGTGGACGATCTCGAGGAAGAACCTCCGTCCGAGCCCATCTCCGTTGGCGGGAAACTGATGTACACCGAGTAGCAATGGCTCGCTCGGCAGAAGCAAAGAAGAAAGGAGATGGCTCCGGCTGGCTCCAGCTCGTCCAAGGAACCCCATCGGCATCCTCACGGCGGTAGGAAGCAGAAGCCCAAGGGCGACCGTGGCGAGCGGGGCGTGACCGTGGCGGCGGTGGGCAAGGAGGAAAGGCTGGTGGCACCGGTGGTGAACGCAAGGCAAACCGTGGCGACACCTGCCTCAACTACCATCACGCCGGCCACTGGGCGAAGGATTGCCCTCAGCCTCGACACGAGCGTGGCAGCGCGGCGCATCTCGTGGAAGTGGATGACGACGAGGCGGCTCTGCTTCTCGTTCATGGCTTCCTAGAGCTGAAAACAGAGGAGGACATCCTCTGCTCCAAGGCTGACGCCAACCTCAACATCAACGAACCCCGGGCTCATGTGTTCCTCAACACCGGCTCTGGTGTGGACAAGTTGGATGGCTAGTACCTCGACAGCGGCGCTACCCACCACATGACCGGCCGTCGCGAACTCTTCTCCACCTCGACACCTCTGTTCGCGGCTCGGTGCGGTTTGGCGACGCGTCAAGGGTGGAGATTCAAGGCGTCGGCTTGATCATGTTCCAAGCCAAGACCGGCGAGCACCGAGTCTTGCATGGCATCTACTTCATCCCGGCACTACGCAAGTCCATCATGAGCCTCGGCCAGCTCGATGAGGGCGTGTCCAAGATGGAGATCAACAAGGGCGTCCTACACATCTGGGATCACTACGCCGCCTCCTCGTC